CCACTGAAACCCTGAAAATGTATCTATAGTGTGATGTACATATTTTAATTTTCCAAATTCTGCAAAATGAAACACATCCATTTGCCATATTTCATTCCTATTTATACCTTTAGGGTTACTGCCTGGTGGTAAAGGAGTTTGGTTATAGAATGAGCAAGTAGGACATTTCCTTACTATTTCCTTGGCTTGTTCCCAAGTGATAGAAAAATCCTTTTTTAAACCTTTACTGTTCACGTGGTGTTTCTTATGAAACTCTGAGGCTTCTAGCACACTTCCTATCAATAAACGATCAATTTCATCATTGCCTTGTGCTAGAGGACCTGGCAGACCCGTATGGGATCTGATGTGTGTTATATATATAGGATGAGTCCTCTTTCTGATAGTATCTTGTAACTGTATAAACAATGAAGTTAATTCTGTATTGTCAGGAATAAATTCTGCAGTCTCAATGTGTAAAACGACTCTCTCTGCGTATTGAGAGTCAGTAACTATGTTGAGGGGTTCTTTAAAATCCATAAGTACCATGAGAATGGCATACAATTCTGCCTTTTGTACAGAATTGTAAGGGCTTTGAACCACTTTGCTAATATTTCCTGATTTATATCCTGCCTTACCTGATTTATTTGCATCAGTGTAGAATGTATGAACTCCAGAAATAGGTGTTTTTCTTACAATGCGTGGAAGAATCCAAATCGTTTTCTTTATGAATTTGATTCTCTCAGTTTTGGGATAGTTGTTGCTAATTGTTCCCAAAAAGTTACTGCAAGCTCTCTGCCAATATTCGTTATCTTTCCATAAGGAAGAAATTTCCTCATTAGTTAAAGGTACTATAATTTCTGCTGGGTCCCTTCCTATTAGCTGACGAAGTCTTAATTTACCTTTTATAATCAAGTCAGAGATCTTTTCTATATATGTTTTCAGTTTTTTATTCTGTTTATGTGGTAGGAATATCCATTCTAATATGATATCTTCTCTCTGCATCAAAATCCCTGAAGGATATTCTCTAGATGGTAATATAACCAGAATACAGTCTAGGTTTGGATCCACACGGTCCACATGTGCTTCTAGTATCCTCTTTTCTACCCATTCTAATTCCTTCTCAGCTTCAGCTGATAGTATTCGATGGACTATTCAAGTCCTTATCTCCTTTTAGGGCCATTTTCAAGTTTTTCAAATCATGCCCTTCTACTCCAATTATGGTTTGCAGTTGAGAAATCTCTCCTAGTAATTTTTGAAGATCATTAAGAGTCTGGTAGCGATCTCTTCTGATCTGTACTTTTTGTGGTCTAATTTTCTGTAGACCTATTTTATATCCTAAGTAGTTGATAGACTCTCCTTTTTGTATTTTTTCAGGTGCAATTTGTAATCCCCAGCAAGGTAAAACTTCCTTTACTTTCTCAAACATTTTTTCTAATATTTCTCCTTTAGAGTCAGCTAACAATATATCATCCAGGTATATCCCACTTCTGACACCAGATATTGCGGTAAATAAGGATCAGGATAAACAAATAAGCCGAATAGATGTTTATTCAGGGAGAAATAACTTACAACCTAGACAGATGAACACCAGGAAATTCAACCCGATCCTCTCCTGTCCGAGTCACGCCAGAAAGAGAGCGCCTTCCTGGCCCCCTCCGACCTCCTTCCTCAGGTCACCTCCGCCCATAGCTCCACCCCCCAATGGGCGTGGTCAGTGCTACAGAAGGACTACCTCACTACAGGTAACAGCTTTCAAAACTATAATACTTTAACGGCACTAGGACATTAAAGATTGCTTTATTGCCTTTCACATCCTTTACCACTTCCCTCCCACCACAGCGATGCCCTAACCTCTGCCACTCATCAATTAGCTTAACCGTTCTGTAATTTTTGACATATTAAGACTGGTATAACAGTGAAACAATGCAACTGTAAACTTTGGGTATTTTTAAAAATTTATGTCTAATTCTAGGTAATATATCTAGGTTATTACACACCTCAATAATCCATACAATGATATGTTCATGGATCATTTAACTATTTGCTAGCTTATTCAGCCTTCCACAGTGTGTGTGTGTGTGTGTGTGTGTGTGTGTGTGTGTGTGTGTGTGTGATGGCTATGAGTGATGAACACAAACCCTATGTTAAAACCCTAACCTTCAGTGTAACTGGACTTGCAGACATAAGTTAGTTAAAAGGAGGATAGGAACCTGCAATAATAGAATTAATGTTCATACAAGAAAAAACAGAGAAAATGCTTGTTTTACGTTATGTGAAGCTAGTGGTACTCTCATCTTGGACTTCTACTCTCCAGCATTATGAGAAAAAAAAAACTCATCAATTAAGCAATCTATGCTAATAGATACACAGGAAAAAATAATTCTAAATTGCATTCCGACATTTGAGTTCAAGTTTCCTAGCTGCTCAGAGTTATAGCCAGAGTCCTAACAATATGAGCGATTGTGTCCAGAAGCCTTTCAATTTAACTCTCTTCCTTTCCCTTCTCAATCCCTATTACTCCCCATTGTTGTGGGGGTAGTCACCTGAGATGATTGCTCAGACATGGATTTAAACCAAGAGAAAGTCTTTATTCACCGGGTGGTGGCCACACTGGGAGTTCAGGGCGAGGCTTTAAGCATGAAAACCTTGTTCTGAGTGATAAGCCTCAGTCAATAAGAACAGATTTATTCAGAAGTGGAATTACAGAAGCAAAAAAAAAAAAAAAAAAAAAAAAAAAAAAAAAGCCAGGTTGCCCCAATGGACTTTGGTGGAGTAGGATTTTTGTTTTGTTTTGTTTTGTTTATTTTGGCAGGTTGCACTGATTGTGTGCTGAGTTTTATGGCCTGAGTACTTCCATCATGGACTCAGCTGTGCTATGGTCTGGGGCTCTGTTATGCTCATCATCTATTTTGTTTGTTTTTGTTTTGTTCAGTGGCATTCCCACTTGTTGGATTTCAGCCTGTGCTCCTATTTCAGAATCTCCCTGTTTCTCTTTCTGGGACCTCCCTTTCTCATATTTACATGATTCCCTCATTTTCTCATTCAGGTCATTGCTCAAATGGTATCTTACCAAGCACAGTACTCTGGTTATGCTCTTTGCTTTATAAACACCATTATACACACTACAGTATACTGATATTTATTTTGACCACTGGAATTTTTCCATGGCACCTCTCTGTTCTAATAAACTACAAAATTATGTATTATTTTTCTTCCTGTGAAGAATGCTCAGTCTCTGACAGGACACGCCCTCAGCTGCTGCAACTAAGAGCAACACCAGAGCACATTCACTATGTTCCCTTTTAAAGGGGCCTTGCTGATTTCCCATCTCCCTTCCTTCCTTCCTTCCTTCCTGTCTGTCTTTCTTCTCTGCCTGTCTCTCCCTCTCCTCCCCCTTCCCCCCCTTCCCTTTCCTCTAATGAAAAACCCCTCCATGTGGAGAAAAAAAAAAAAAAAAAAAAAAAAAAAGCAAAGTCTCTGTGTCACTAAATAAGCAGACACTATGACACTTATGTCAGTAGCACATAAAGGGCCCTCATAAACATGCATTAGATAAAACAGGGTGAGTGGCAGGGAACCTTGCATCCAGCACCAAGTCTGCCCCTACCACACTGTTTAGTTTTGCCGATGTGGATTTCCTTGTATGCAGTAAAAAGGTTTGGGTCATATTAGAAGAGAAGCGTCCTCCCTTCCATTGCTTAAATTTGGCCCGCTCTCCCTAGTTTGCTTCTATCCATTGCAGGGCTTCCCCTACCTTCCCTTTTAGATATATCTTAACTATTTTGACATAACACACACCAATAGAAATTCGTCTTCTGTTGTCAACTGTCCTCTAGGGCTGACATTTGAATCAATAACCTGTGCTGAAATTATATGGGAACTTATAATGACTTAGGTTTCACGTGATACTCTATTAAAAGAATTTTTTTTTTTTTTTTTACACAAAGTGGTCTTTCAATTTACATTGCTGTTAGGCACCTCACATTTATTATTTAAGTGCAAAATATGAGCATGAAGACTGAGGTCACGTCTTCCTTTTGTTATTAAACATAAAAGAATATTAAGATTCTGTAAGGAACTTACCACACGAGGTATTACACGAGGTATTAATGAAACTTAGCCACTTCCTTTTTAAACTGTTTTTTTAGAACTGAAACTTCATGAACTGCATCATCAACTATAACTTCAAGACATGTCTATATTCCTTTTAGAAACAAAATGTCTTCAACATCCTCAAGAACTGTTTTCTTATGAATCACCAAAACCGGTTGTCTGAAAGGGACCTAAAACTTGGTGTGATTTTGTTTTTTGTTTTTTTCAGAAATATTTCTCAAACATCTATTGTTGGTCGTTGAAGACCGAAAGCCAAACTAAAATGATCCTTTCTTCAAGAACTTTATTGCAAAGAATCAGTTCACAGCGAAGAATGGGTTAATTAATAAAGAGCAAAAATCAAAACAGTATTTATTTCATGAATTTCCCACCCTCCGGTAAATTATTCCGGTAAGAAACCCATTTTTTTTTTTTTATTTTTTAAGCTGCAAAATAAATCACATCACTTTATACAGGGGACTATTTTCCTAAAGTCCTCGGGTGTTACTGGCATAGCTTTTAAAATCAGCACGCACGAGCAAGGGGACGCTGTATTTCCTGAAGTAACTTTCTAATCCTAAAGGTGTGGGGCGCTGTGTAGGAGACGCAAACGAAACTCCGAGGACTGCACGGATTCAGATGTCAGCGGGTGAGAAAACTGCGAGTCCCTAAAACAAACGGCGCGGGCGGGCACGAGTGACTCCTTGCACCCTGCAGAGCTGCAAACCGACGCGCGAGCCTGCTCCTGGGGCGCGCGCCGCAGACCACGCTTTCTGCGGGACGGGTGGAGCTGGCGCTGCAAACCCGCTGGCTGCGCGCGCCGCCTCCGCCTCCGGCTCCGCCTCCGGGAGGCGCTTGGCTCGCTACGGCAAGTGGCCGGGGCCAGTTCCGGCGGCGCCGGAGCCCGGCTTCCGGTTCCGCCGGCCAAGATGGCGGCGTCCAGGGGCTGGAAGCTGGTGCCGCTCCGCGGGCTGTGCGCCCCCGCCGCCGCCTCGGCCTCCTCCGCCTCTGCCACGGGCAAAGCTGACGGCCCAGAGGCGGCGGCGGCGCGGTACCCGCCGGTCGTGGCTTCCATGACGGCCGACAGCAAGGCGGCGCGGCTGCGGCGGGTGCAGCGCTGGCAGGCGGCGGTGCACGCGGCGCCGTCGGCGGACGAGAAGATGCGGATCCTCACCAAGATGCAGTTCCAGAAGTACGTGGTGTACCCGCACACCTTCGCGCTGGGCGCCGACCGCTGGTACCAGGGCTTCACCAAGACGGCGCTGCTGGCGGGCCTGCCGCGCGCGCACGGCCCCGCGCACGCGCCCTCGCCCCCGCCCCCGCCCGGCCTGGACCTGGCGGGCCTGCGCGCCGCCGTCCGCGACTGCATCCTGCAGGAGCACGTCTACCTGCGGCGCCGCCCGCGCATGCACCAGCGCCTGCACCAGCACCCCTTGGGCCAGCGCCACGCCCTCGCCTCGCCGCTCCTGGACAGACTCGTGGAGACTCTGGTGAACCTGCTGGCCCCGCTCAACCCCGTGCTGGCCACCGCCGCCCTCGGTGAGCCGCGCACGCACCGCTCGCGCCCAGAACCCGGGGAGGTGGGGACGCCGTCGCTTCCGGCCTGGGAAGCCGGCTCGGTGCGCTGGGATCCAAGGATCCCCAAGTTTCTCGGGGCTCCCTCTCCACTCCCTCTACCCCGCCCCACCTCACCCCACTGCACCTCCCAGCTGCCTGTGGCTGCTCCCTAAAGTTTAGGCGCTGCTGAAGTTCATCTGGTTTCCGAGCCTGGACCCGGCTTTGTGTCTGTCTGTCCAGCCAAAAGTTTTAAGAGGCTTTCAAGAAGTGGAACCAGCTGCGGGTGGGGAGTGAGGGTTAGGGGTGGGGGTGGTTGTCTTTTTGACCCTCCCTCCGCAGGAAAGCTGGGTGGCCATGGGTAAAAGATCAACCTGTCTTACTTTGCCTAGTTTCGTTAGTTTAATACTGTTTGTCCGTAGAGTTGAGAAGGTTAAATAGTAGATATTTTGCTAGAATTCCTAACATTTCCGTAACAGTTACTGTGTCTGCTCTTTTTTTTCCCCCAACTAATTGCCAACTAATTAATCAACACACTGGGTATCATGAATTCATTCTATAAATCAAAAGAAGACGTATACTGAGTGTTGCTGTCTTAAGACCCACTATCTGGTTGATTTGGGGGTCAGGACTTAGGCCCAGTAAACAGACACTTGTTTGTTCAGTAACATTTTTGTTTGTGTCTGGTGGGGATGGTGGTGCCGAGGATTGAACTCGAGGACTAGAATACACTCTACCATTGACCTACACTCCAGCTGACAGAATGTTTTTTGTAATGCATTGATGGGTCTATGACTTCATATTTATTGAACTAATTCTTCATGGCTGTAGGTGTGTGCTGAACTGAGCCGTGTAGTGTCTGTATTGCTTCCCTTTCTCACTTATAACAGAAGTGGTGTTAGGAAAACACAGTAACTTTTGACTAGTCACTTTCTGTGACTTAGGAAGCGTGGCTTCCTTCATTCAGACCAGAGGTCTTGTATAAAATGGCAGTGATTGCAGTCATGTGTAAAAGTGAAGTTAGTGCTTCATAGAACAGTTTGCACTTTATTCCGGAGAGCGATACGCCCGCCATCCATTCGAGCATCTTCATTAACTGAGTGACCCCGTTGATGAACAGTGTTTAGCATCGTGAAGTTCTGAGTGCTGTCCTTGAGACTTGTAACGCAGATTCTTCATCACTGTAATTTTTATATCCATATACTGTAGACACGCCGCTCTTAACATGTTTATGACTAAGTCAATAACCAGTTTTCTCTGAATAACTAAGAAAACTTTGGTTATCTTTTGGTAGATTTTAAGCGCCCTGTTGACTTTTACTGGCACCGTGGTGAGGAACGCATCTCTGCTGGTCATCGAAAAGGGCGTATTGATGCTCTACGATATCAGATAAATGATAAACCACACAACCAGATCCGAATATCTCAGCAGCTCCCCGAGGTAAGGTTTTGTGTCCCTTGGCATCAGTTGGCCAGGTGAATTGGATGAGGTATTTTGGGTAACCCTCTTGCCTCCCGTGTTTGATTCATGATGGCAACTCATCTGGAAATCTCTCAACTTTCTGATTGTGTATGGTCAAGTAATTTTAAGCATGTACCACATTCAATGTGGTAAAATCAGTTTATGATTATATATTATAGCAGGATTTTTAAAATTTTGTTCTATGTATGACCACTTTGGGCCTATCAGTAGTTATTAGTGTAGCTGAATACGTAGCTTTTGAAAATGTTATCTGAAAAGCACCAAAACTCGGAGCATTTCAGAGTTTTGAATTAGGAATGTGTTTCCTGTAGACTGTGTGGATGTTCTAAACTGTAAGTGCACTGACATCGGAAACCCTTCTAGTCCCTAGCATCTTGTTTCTGAGATACTCAACATGCATAATCAGATCATTTTGTAAGAAACAATTCATTGGAAAAGTGTTGTATCCACTTCATTTACAATTGACTAAGATACAAATGCTTCTGAGTTCACTTTGTGTTTTCTTTTTCTTTAAGTTTGTGCCCTTGGATTATTCCATTCCTGCAGAAATTCCTGTTATGCCGTGTAAACCAGACAAGCTCCCATTATTCAAACGGCAATATGAAAACACCATATTTACTGGTAAGTTGCTCTTTACTTATCAATCCATAAGTATACTCAGAATGTGCAGAGCGAAAGCATGCTTTAACTTTAGTGGAAATTTAAATTATTATATTTTATTGTTTTTAACGGAGACAGGTTTTCTGTAGCTCTGTTGTATTTGAACTCACTATGTGTTCCTGGCTGGTCTTGAACTAGTGGCAGAGCCCTTTAGCCTCTGTCTCTTAGAGTGTATACTACCACACCATGTAAAGTTTAATTCTTGGAGACTAAGAAGTTTGATTGGCTATGAGCTATATGATATCATTCATAATCTCAAGGTATTGTAACATGAATGATAATTGGAGAAAAATTAGATCTTTGAAAGGAGTTTTTTTTTTTTTTTTCCTCGTCTGCCGAATTGGCAACATTTAACCTTTAAAAATCGTTATATGGAAAAGTAGCTTGTATTTTGTATGTTTAAGTATGGACTTGGGATCCTGACTGGCAGTTTGTTGACGCGACACGTGACAGTTACGTACATCAGGGGTTCAGGCACTGGTAGGCCTCGTGTCTGCCCTAATGAACGCTCTTGACGTTTATCCCTCCCATACACTTATTAGTTCCTAGATGACCCAACAGAGACTTTAAGAAAGCAGAATGTTAGTCCTCCAGGCCATTTTATTCGACCTTCCTCAGTCACTCGGTCTTAGTGGCTGGGGAGTCTTGAAACTACTTCAACGATGAAATCGGGCATCTCGGTGTTGTATGAAAGCTGGGCCACTGGTCCTTTCTGCCTTACCTTTCTTTCCTCCTTTTTTACCCTCCCCTTCCCCCTTTCCCTTTCTTTCCTCCCTTTTTACCCTCTGTTTTGTTTTTCTCTTCTTGCTCTTTTTTTCTTTCCTTTCTTTGACCCTGCCTAGGTTAACACTCGCTGTGGGGGGACAGAAGACCTTGAAACTCTGCAGCCCACCCTGCTACACAAACGCATACTGTTGGAGGCAGGGCGTGTGCCACAGTGCCAATATTGTGTGTGTTCAGGGTCAGAGCAGGGCAAAGCAGAGTGCTAGCTAGGCAAGCACTCTGCCCAGTAAGCTCCTTACTTTCCTTGCTTAGAAAGGGAATATAAGAACCTTTTTAAAAAATGAACAAATACTATTATTACACTAGTTGCAAAGAAGTCCTCTTGTTGTTTGATTCTTTTCATTGTGAGTGTGTGTGCACGGTGTGAGTGGGTGTATGAATACCACAGGGCACATATGCATGGAGGTCAGATGACTCTGGAGTGCATTCTTCTGCAGGTGGGTTCCAGGTTTCAACTAAAGTTATTGGGTTGCACAGCAGGCACTTTACCCCTGAACCTTTGTAAAGTACACACACCGAGGGATCCTGCAATAGTAGCTCTTAATAATGACTGAGAGAGTTGGCAAAATTAAATAGCAGAGGATTGTAAGTGCCGTTTATATTTGTGCATCTGGCTTACTTTGAGCCCGGTGAGCTTTGTGAGAATGAGCAGGTTGAGGAATTGTTTTCAGGTAAGGCATTTCCATGTGTGCATTTTGAGTCCATGGACTTGCTGTTGGAAACAGGTGCTTGAAGCAGATGCTAGATAGAACATGTGCCTCTGCTCTTCTCTGCTCTCATTTCATCTGAAATCTTTTTATTGTTTCCATCAGGCTCCAAAACAGCAGATCCATGCTGCTATGGCCACACCCAGTTCCATCTGTTACCTGACCGTTTAAATAGAGAAAAGCTGATAAAGCAAAACCAAGCTGAGCAGGTAGAAGTTGTTTTTAGAGCTAATGCCCTTGCAAGTCTTTTTGCTTGGACTGGAGCTCAAGCTATGTATCAAGGTAAGCCCAGTGCTATGGCAGTTTTCATCCTTGAAAGTGTAACCTGTTAAGAATGGAGTTATTCAGATTATTTTCTTAAGACACAACCTAGATCTGAACATTTTGAAAAGTTTACATTGATACAAAGTGCAGTTATCTAAAAATCCATAATGACATACATAAACTACTAGAGAGCAAGTCAGATCTTCGTGGGTTTTCTCATTTTGTAAAGTACTCGAGTTAGAAAAGTAAATGATAAAAGACATGGAAGTCAAGGTTCCAGTGAGGAAGCGCTCCCTCAGTTGATGCATGTGGGCCACCGGGCAGCTTTCTATGGATGGAGTGTTATGTTATTCACCTTTATGGGGTGCCAAGAATTGAACTTGGGGCTGTAGCCCTTTGCCCAGTGGGTCCACTGTTAGCTTGGAGACAGTGTTGAACAGACAGTAGAGAGCTTCTGGAAACATACTGTTTTCAGAGCGGTGATGTTAGAAGAAAAGTAGACCAGCGTAAGAAGTATGGTTTAAGACTGCAGTGTGAGGATGTAGAGGCCGGGCCTGTGCTGGCCAGTAAAGAAGGGGGAAGGAAGGAGAAACAGCATGACACAGAGTGGAGAGTACTGTTTCGAGCAGTTTCCCACCAGCCTGGTCCCACTGCCGCATCAGCCCCAAATAACACACAGACGCTGTGTTAGATGTAAGGCTATTAGTAGCGTTTCTTATCGGCTAGCTCTGTCTTAAATATTAATCCATTTCTATTAATCTAAGTGTTTCCACGTGGTCTTGGCTTCCCGGAGAGAGGGCCGGGACCTCTTACTCCTCTCTCGTCCTACATCTTCCTGGGCTGAGTTTGGACCAAGGACTGGTGTCTCCCAAGCAGATCCTCTACCATGAGCTGTAGTCCTTATCCTCCTGCTCTTTACCAGTCCTGGGTGAGGTGTTTGGGTTCTCCTGCAAAGTCTAGAGTTACAAAATGTGAATTAGATTAATTCTGCACAATAACCCAGGAGGGATATTAACACAGATTGTTCTTACTAGGAAGGGAAGATGGTAGGAGGTGAGCTTGGATTAGTCAGGAAGGGTGAGTGATACCTTCCAATGGCACTGTACCCTCATGGACTTTGAACTGTTACCTACTGCATTTGAGCAGTAACTTTGTTAGATGTCTCCATTAAGGATTAAAGATAAAATATATGTGTGGAGAAGTTGACTCCTGTCTTTGGCAGCAATTAAAGGTATTAAACAAGGCAGTCTAGAACAAGAGTGAAACCAAAACCTTGAGTAGTAAAGGTATTGAGGCATCCTAGAACCTTATGACCTGGGACACCAGAGGCAGTGACAGCAATTCTTAAAAACTCTTGTAAAATATTCAGAAGGCACTGGATTTTTTGAGGGCGTGGTGTTAAAACCATAGAAAGCTAGATTTTTTTTCCTGAGGATTTTGAGAGGATGTGTATATGTTTGTATTTGGTGACATGAATGGTCTTAATGGATACTGGGTTTTATATAGTGTTAGTGTGGATGTTTTCTGAGCATATTCATGCCATTGAGTTATATCAGATACAGGAGGATTCATGTGGGTAAAGCTTCTTAGGTAACTAAATGAATGCTAGAAGCTATTAGAGCTTGAAGTTGTAGAAAAAGATAAATCATAAGTTTGGGGACTCTAGATTAATACAGAAATAGGATATGAGTTAGTGGCAAAATCAGGGAGACTTTGGGATCTCAGGGATCTGGGAGTTCACAGGTGTTTACTACCCTCCAGTGTGTTTTGTTTTGATAGAATCCATCACTGTGTAAATCCCCACATTGCTTTCTTACAGGATTCTGGAGTGAGGCAGATGTTACTCGACCTTTTGTCTCCCAGGCTGTGATCACAGACGGAAAATATTTTTCTTTTTTCTGCTACCAGTTAAATACTTTGGCACTGACTGTACAGGCTGATCAAAATAACCCTCGTAAAAACATATGTTGGGGGACACAGAGTAAGCCTTTGTATGAGACCGTGGAAGATAATGATGTGAAAGGCTTTGACGATGATGTCCTCCTGCAGATAGTTGACTTTCTTCTAAATAAGCCAAAAGAAGACAGAACACAGCTGTTGGGAAGCCAGGAGAAAGCACTTGATCTGGGACCTTGAGGATATTTAAATTTGACCAGAGGAATAATAAAATCATTTAAGAATTATGTATCTGTCAGTTATTAAGCATGTTAGCATGTTGCTATTTTTGAAAAACAATGTTTCATATGTTTTCCTGTGGTTAACCCTTGAATTCAGATCTTTTACTGAAAGATTTAGTTTTAGACATGATGGCGATTTAAAAATGATATTTTTTTCCAGCTGGTGTGACTTAGGAGGCAGTGAATGGAAGCAGAGGACTCTGGCAAGTTGTATTCTGACCTGCACACATGTCCAGGGATTTAGATATAAACATATTCAAAATTAGTTTGAATTTTATATAAAATGAGCTTCATATATCATAATTGAGCTGGCCTGACTAAGTTTGTAGATAATTTTCTCCATAATATTCTGATTTTTTTTTTTCAGGAAAAAGCATTTTGTAATTAGGAAAATAACTTCATTTTAATAAGAAACAACCTTTCCAGGTGGAATGGCAGATGCCTGTATTCCCACCACTTAAGAGGTGAAGGCAAGAGTATTAATTAGTTCAACATCTTCCTCAGCTACTTAAACCCCCGGCTGAAACAGCTTTGTTGGGCGAACTCCAGTCAGGAGCCTTTAACATGTCAGACTCATCTCTAAACTTCACTGTGTTTGGAAAAGCATTTTTAAATCAGATTTCCTACAGGCCACTAAGGCACTCAGACCGAGGTCAGAGGACAGTTTGAAGTGGTTGCTCTCCTTGAACCATGCAGATTCCAAGGCTAGGATGCAGTTTAGCAGACTTGGCAGCAAGTGCCTTTCCCTGGTGAGCTATTAGGCCCACCCCAGTGACCTACTACCCTTTTTTATTACTTTTATTTGTGAGATGATATTATAATTCTTTCCCCCTGTCCTTCCCTCCCCATTTAAAAAGTTTGTGTTTATGTGCCTGTGTAATTTTATGTGTTGGCCACGTGTGAGTGCCTGCTGCACAGGAGAGCGTGTTCAGTCCCTGGAACTGGAGTTGGACATGGTGTTAAGCCACCTGACTTGAAAGCTTGGAATCAAACTCAGGCTCCCAGGAAGAGCAGCAAGTGTTCTTAACTGCTGAGCTGTTTCTAATATAATGACTTAAAGGAACCAACTGCCTTTGGGTTAAGAATGCCAACAATACTTTAAAGAAGTGAGTCAAATAATGGGAAATCTAATTTGGTAAATATAGTAGGAATCCTGTGTGTGTATACTAATCTTTTGCATATTAAAATGTAAATGAAATTTTGTTCCAGCCGTTGGTGATAAGTTCATTTAAGTAGGAAAAACAAAAATCATTAAATGAAAGACAGATTATCCTGTATTTTGCAGTAAATCAGTGATTATACAGTTGCTTGTCAGTATGCACCTCAATAGGCAGCCTGCTTCAACTGAGCTAGCTTGGTTTTTTTCAGTTATTAGCATTCCAATTTTGAATTACTTTAGGTCAGTTTCCATTGGGTTTAGCCTCTGGGAAACATGTCTTTAGATGATTAGCCATATAAAACTTGCCTTTTATTTGCAAACCAATAATATGAATTTTAGGATCTTCTAAAAATCTTTTAAGAAGTTTATTAATCATACAAATAGTGAATTTGGGCAAGATTTACAGCTTGAATGTACGTCAAACAAGGATAATTATGTCAGCAACTGTTCTTTGGTCATGCTATTTGTTATTTAATAGTGTTTTAATTAATTGAAGAGTAAGGAATCATAGCACCCAGATTCACAGATTTTTCTTAAGAAAGTGAAAGAACTGGGAACTTCACATTTATGTTCTTACGTGTCAACAACACTAAACAGGATCTGGGTATTGCCTGCCCTGGGCCCTTGTGGTGGGCCATACATCACTCTGGTTTGTGATGGTGTCCACCACTCTAACTTTTAACTCTGCTAACATCATTGGATCTACCTTATTAAGCTCTGGGAAATGCTTTGCTCCTATGACATTGAATTTATCACTGCCACAGCCTACTTTACTCTTTGGAGCTCGCAAATATTCTTAGCAAAAGTCAACCGTTACTGTTAATTTTGGGGCATCGGAATCTGTTAGCTAACAACAATAATAAATGAAAGATGTGTTTTAAGGTTGTGCTTTTGCTCATTGATTGCTGAATTGAGGGCTTCAGTCGCTTGCTAACTGTTGCTTGGAGATACCCTTCTTGTCTCTACGTGATTCTTTTAAGACTGTCCTCATATCATCTCGCAAGAGAATCTGTACACAATCTGCTAACAAGAATACTGGCCAAAAAAGTCACCCTGTCCAAGTTCAAACCAGGGAGAAGGGGTTACACAATGGTATTATGGGAGTGTGTGTGTGTGTGTGTGTGTGTGTGTGTGTGTGTGTGTGTGTGTGTGTTTGTGTGTGAGAGAGAGAGAGAGAGAGAGAGAGAGAGAGAGAGCCATTGATTTGGGGAGTAAGTTTTCTCTCCCAGAATGTTATAAACACAATAAAAGAGAACATGCCTGGAGGGGAAGGATAAAACTTCTAGAATTAATGTTCTTTTCATAGATGTTAATTAACACTCTGCTTACTTACACAATGGAAAAGTGTGGACAGAGGCTAAATGAGAATTCCATTTAGTGAATGTAGGAGCCTATCCAGAGAGCGGTTCTAATGAAGAGAAAGGGAAGATGTAACTGTGTTCAGGATTTTCACTGGTTTTTGGCTCCTGTCATATACCCAATCTGCTGTTCTGTATGTTGGGCCACTCACTATTTTCAGTGTTGATTAATAACATGCCTGTGGATATTCAGTGGTAATGTTTCTATAAATGACTAGGTATAGCATGTAGGATTGCATGGATTATTTTCTTTTGCAAAGGACTTTCATGGCTTATACATTTATTTCTGGAAATGTAGTTTTATTAATGAAACAGGTGGTCAAGTTTCTGTTGTCATTGACTGTTGGATGATGGTGTTTGCAAGTACTCAAATTAATTAGTCTTGTTAAGTTAATCCCCTTCACCTGTATTCTGTGTCTTGACAAAGAAATTGGATACCTGGACTGTTCTCATAGGAGCAACTATATGTTTTCTCTGTAATTGTTAAGTGTGCTGAGAAACTTCCTTAGGTTCTTGACCGCCAAGTATGTGATAAAATATGTAGGACCTAGCCCTGACCCATAAGTAGATGTCCTAACCCCTTATATGAGATCGAAACCCAGTCTCCTCATTACAAGCACACCTAGCTAGGGTGTTTCTTGCTGTGCATGGTAAAGAACACAAGAGGACCCCTGTGTACACCTTCCCGTAGTGAATACATTGGACTGATCCCTGTCATCAGGCCTCCTAGTCAGATTGATTATCATGGAAAAATAATCCCTTTAATGCTTACAATCAACCATATCTTTAGAATTAACTGTATCTGAAAGACCAGTTTCAACTAGCAGTGGATGGGGGTAGGAGTTTGAAAAGCCACAGACAACGTTGCTGTGCAAAATTCTCTAGAAACTACACCTTTATGGTTGTACATGCGATGTTCCTGTCGGTTGCAACCAGTTTAGAGAGTTCCAGCTAGACTCAGGTTGAATGAAATCCAGAAACTTTCCACATCATTCAGATACGTGCACAGGAAGGTGGGAGGGAAGGGAAGCATATGGCAAGGCCGTTTCTTAGTGCCAGGTATTACACTGGCATTAAAGCTGCCAGCACTCACACTCCTGCTCATTTAGAACATGCCGGGTACATCTAGTCATTTATCACAGGCTCTCTAGGAGACATAGGTAAACACTTGACAGCAGTATTCTTTGCAACACCTAATAGCATTTAAACTCACTTGTTTCAAATGATAATGAATCGTATACTCTTCAGGTGAAAAGTGGGCGATTTTGTTTACAAAGTCGGCTTTTCATGTAGTTTGGATTTTCATTTTCCTTCATAAACTTTGGACCCTAGGCTTTGTTGCTATGAAACTATGGTCGGTGTCGAATGTTTGAAAAGACAAGTGGGAAGGAGACACCATTACTGTTGAGCTTGTACTGTACGGTGGTTTGAAGGCACTTGGCAGGAGAATGAATGTATTATAGTATTATTATTATAGTATTGTAAATCAAAAGCATCCTATAAACATGGAAACACTAATAAATTCAGTCATTTACAGGAGGAAAAAGACTTAAAATCCTCTTCCATCGTAACGAAATCCAAGCAGGACAATTATATAAGATTAGTTAGTGTGGGTGTGAATGTATTTAATGTGAGGATGGTTCACAAGCACTTGGATAATTAAATCCTGACTTTAAGCATGTTTGTAAGATTTCCATATCTACCACCTGTGTGTGATTCATAACTGGGAAAAATAAAGAAACCTTGCATTTTGAAAGATATTTTAAAATCTCTATACAATTATCTTGCGGTGAAGTATAATTTCTTTTGACCTTTGGAACTCAGACTTTTAAATGTCACTTTAAAAAACAGTATAAGGAAAATTAGATAAGCTTAATTTTGTTTTAGAATGTGTGGCAGTTGAATCTGAAAGTGGAGACAGAATTATTATTTTTTTTGTCATTAGCTAGCTCAATGATGGCTTTAGATCAATATATTATTTTTCTTGAACTTACTTTCTCCTATAAGTTAAAAGAATTGGATAAGGAAATCTTTTAAGTTAAGATGAGTCATTTTAAGCCCCACATGACTCATGCAGTGTGCTGCTAACATTCTTGAAAGTTTCTCTGTTAGAACTCCCAATGGTGAACTTAAGTGCTCAAGAGCTAAGCGGGTCCATCTTCATCTTTCACTGGATGTCCTCAGAGGTGGGTTCCCATTTCACACGTTTACCTCCATAACCATATTCCTTGAGGTTACAGCAGCAATGTACAGAATAAAAGGAAACCTTATCATCAGTCATAGGCCACCCACCACATAGTAGTGTAATAGTCTCTGAAACATTTGCAGCAAAGGTCAATGCTTGGAGAATAAAGATGTGTTACTACTCATGGCTGTTGCTTTCTTGATTAGAACTGCACTGATAAATCTGTTTTCTCCTGGTTTGCAACCATCGCTTTTAGCTAGGTATTTTGAAAATATTTTTGTGAGAATTTTGTAAGTTGTATTTT